GAGAGAGGGAGGGAGAGAGAGAGAGAGAGAGAGAGAGTAGAAGTTATGACACATCAAGCATATTAGATCGTAATGTGTGCACTTTGAGAGAGCCATTTCCATTTCCCTGCATGCGTCTCACTCATACATTCATAACACAATTATGCACTAAACTCAGTTTAATATCTTGTGGTGTCAGCGTTGATAGGGATGACGCTATCTGCAGGAGATTCCAACGCATTACTGCTAATACTGTCAAACACACACACACACACACACACACACACACACACACACACACACACATACATAAAAAGGGGACAATGCCGTGAAGTAAAACATTAGAATTTCAGGAAATGGGGTGCGCTGGGGTTTAAAGCACCGACTATGAAGCGCAATACCCCGCTAGGGATCGTCGTTGCCCATTTTCTGTCATCTCTCAACTCTCTAATAAAGACAGAATGTGCCCAAACACACTTTAACAAAACTACAGGTGCACACAGGGAACATGTCACTGACACACTCAATATAAAGAACATTTACAGTTTATAGTTTAAGGTTATTTGATTAATCAATTAGACAATCAACAGAAAATTTATTACCAGTAATTTTGCTGGTTGATTCAAAATTTCAAGTCATTTATCGAACAAAAATAGCCCAGATTCTCAAATGTGGTCATTTCTGCTTTATATCATAATTTACATTAGTTAGTCAGACAAAATAAGCAATTTGAAGAAGTCACCGTGGCCTTATTTTATTTTTATGATTTTCAAACTAAATTAATTAAAAAAATAATAGTTAGCTGGATCACAGAGCAGGTGTTAGATGAGTGCAACTTACTCGGTTGCTGGACTTGGATCTTTGTTCTCCATGAAAGTAAATGATGCGCTGAAGAAATAATAATAATGTAAAACATGAAATCAACATTAGTGTATCAATAAGGTGTACCCACAGAGCTCAGTGTGTCTAGTATACCAGCTGCTGATTGTGAATACAAAGTATTGCAATGAACAATAAAGTACAGCAGTTGTAGTAATTCTAATATTATGTAGCAACATGATAATATCGGTGCTACAAGCAAAGGTTGCAATATAGAAAAAGGGGGATTTGCATCATCATTCCAGTACCTGTTGCTGGAAATATCAGAGCGAGGCTGGAGCAGGTCAGAAGAGCTGCAATGGAGAAAAGTGGCTCATAATCAGAAACTGCTGCATTATGCATGACGGGATGCTATCTGGCTGGCTGGAAAACAGTCACAGCTCCAAACCAATATGATTACCTGTTAGAGGATGTGGTCCCTATCGGATATGGATCAAACGGATCAGCCGAGCTGAAAAACAATTTCACACTGATTTCACTCTCAATTGTCAGCATGGCCCATCTTGTGTCAAAGGAATTCTGATCACATTGACTCATAATGGAAAGATTTAATGCAGTTTGAATGGTAAACAGAAACACAGAGGAACCCGGGGCCAAACTCAACCAAAATCAGAATCTGGATGACTTTGACAAATGGAAAGACTATCCTGCTGCTGAATGGCAAAACCAGTGTAGTTAAGGCTTTCTTCACCCAAAATGAACCCTGACTTCAGTCTATACCAACTACTGAAAACTAAACAGATCATTAATGTGATCAAATCTGTTTTCAGATTTTTTTACAAACATGAAATGATTTCCTAAACATTTTTATCAAAAAGCATTTATGGCATTAGACTTAATTGCCTATTTAACTGGAATGAGAATCTATTTTACAATTGAATCCTATTTTTAAGCAGCATCAGTGGAGTAAACTATTCCTAAACACATTTAAATACATATTGCATCCACTTTAACACAGACATCTTAAAACACCAGCTCATATGTGACATGGCAGCAAATAAACTACCTTGATTCGGTGACTGTGGTCGTCTCACGTGAGCTCCATGGATCTGCATTGTCCTCTTGGCTGCTTGGAGGCGTGCGATAAAAGTAAGTAAGTAAGTAAGGAGAGTGGTACAGATGAATGGCATGAGATGGGAAGGGAAAAGAGGGCAAGTAAAGGTGAGCGTGGTTCTTCTCATACACTATTTACAATGCCAGTCCATTGGAAAAGATTGGAACCCACTGAACAATTTACCGAGCATGAAAAACATCTGAAAAACATCTGAATATAGTACAGAGCAGACTTTCTTTCTGTATGCGTGTGTGTGTGTGTGTGTGTGTGTTCTCATACCTTTTGTCAGTAATGATCACAGTTTTGGTGGTTATAGTGACGGTCTCTGTGAGGCTGGTGAGAAGAGAGCGACAGCATAGTTGCAGACGGAGTTAGTATAAACCATTACAAGGCATATCTGGATAGAATGCATTTCTTAGCAGGAACAGCTCTGCATAGATAGATAATTGTTTAAGAGCAGCCTGTCATCTCCTTCTACCTTTGTGTTTCATCTGTCTGTTTCTCCTCTCGCTGCATGCTGCGGCTGGCGGAGCCAAAACAAAGCAGCAATACTAATCAGTACAGAACATTCTCTTCTATTTCCAGTCGCGTTCGAAGATAAGACATGGCTTTCTGTTTCAAAGCATTACTCAGTTGCTTCAGGAATCTGCGACTTTGTTTCTATCTAACATGGTGCAGGGGTTAAAATAGAACGCTGGAAGTGGAGGAGCCCTGATTTATGGATCAAACTTGAGGCGGATGGGGTTTATTAAAAATCGTACACCTCAGGGAGCTGGGACGCTTGGCTCCTTCATCTGCGGTGATAAGAATTAATGGTACACATACTGTAGATGGGAGGTATGGGGAGCAGAGGCCATCACAAGCCTGTCTCTGTCTCACCTGCGTGACTCTGTGTTGATTGGAATGAAATCGTTAGCCAGGAGATCCAGGGTGCCACTTGTCTTTGCTGGGTTTGAATCACTAAAAATATCAAACACAAAAATCAAATACAGAGCAGAGTTTGTGCGCATGCTTCCTCTAAACTGCACCCAACTCTGGCAAAGTAATTTAAGGTAATGCCTCTGCTTGCTACGGACAAGGGAGCTATTGATTTTCTACTGATGAAAGGATAATTCTTTGCATAACATCTGTATTTGGGGCTTGGGTGGGAAATAGCTCTCTTCCTATACCTGTTTGGTCCACTAAGCAGATCCTGACTCCAGCGTCCTGTAATGGGGGGGACGGGCTCTGCGGACTCCTCTGGACTGCGGAGGCGGAAGGATGAGAGGAAGAGGAAGAGGAGATGGTGGCGATGAACAAAAGGGGGGTTTAGAATTCAGAGGAGATTTCAGGGCAAGAACAGGCCAGTTGAGGGAGAGGAGAGAGGGGGGGGTCATTAGAAGTCCAACAGTGCCACCTTGTGGGTAATATTAAGAGCATTTCTAATGCGAGGCTTTCTCAAAACGGCAAGAATGTATTTCTAACTAACCCGTTGGTGAAAGCCAGGAGATCATCTGTCAATGGTATACCGTTGCTGAGCGCTGGAGCTGGCTCCTCTTCTACACTGCTGACAGTAAGAGAAAAACAAATGAGTGCAACTGCTTTGGCACGTACGCGTACATCTCTATATTACATTTATAAGTACCACGTGTAATCAAGTCTAATTAGGGAGACCCTCTTGTGTGAGGTAGTTTAAGGCACCTGAAATAGAGATGTGGAATATTTTGTGATTACGTTAAAGTGAACACAGTGGCAGTTAGCCATTATTTATTTTCTTGCCAATCCTGCTCTGCCATGAATGAGGAAGTTGTTGGTTTTATACCCGTTCTCTCTGGTGCGACTGTTTGCTGAACCTGCTTCTTCCTCTGCCATCACTGGCTCATCATCCTTAAAGCTGGAGAGGAAATACACTTATTATCAGATGCTCATTGAGGCTGGAACATAAAAATCTATTTTTTTTCCATATTGGTTTCTGCTGCTTTCATCTTTTTCTTTTGCCAGTACCTGGTTGAACTTGAGTTGAAAGAGATGAGAGTGTCAGACGAGGTGGTGCGCGTGTCAACACTGGAGCTGTGAAAATATATGGAGAACAAACGCATGACATTCCAGGTCAGCTTTCAATCATACACGTGAAAAGAATAAGAGCAAACATGCACAAAGAAAACCACATGAAGGCATATTCAAAGCTTTGCTTAGGAATTATGATATGTATTCATTGTATTACATAAAAAATATCTTGGCAGACTTTATGATGATGTTTGAGGCTCATTACCACCGAGTTAGAGATAAAGTATACTGATGAAAACACTATGCAGTGGTGGAAGTATTCAGATCCTTTACTTAAGTAAAAGTGTGTATTTAGTTGAAGTTTGTATTTAATATATTAATACACAAAGTACTTAGTTACTTTCCACCACTGATACTATGTTAAAATATCTGACAGCACTGATTTTGTTGAGTGGAAATCTGACCTTGGCTTTTGAGAAGGTTTCGGTGCTATTTCTGGTTCGGTCTTCACTGTGATCTCTGTTACAGCAGACACTGGGGCAGGTGACAGAGGGACGGGTGAAGCCGGGGCAGGGGCTGCTGGAGTAGGTGATATTGGGGTTGGTGACGCTGGGGTGAGTACAACCATAGGGGGATTATCCCGCCAAGAAATGTCTGAATCCTTGGGTTCTGGCTCTGTACGGGCTGCTTGAAAACATTCTGGGATGAGTACAGGGAGAGGAGTGGCCACCTTGGTGTAGCCTGGTTCCATGCCTTCAAATGGGTCCTTTTCTGTCACAGACACTGGTGGGGGGTCATCCTTCACAGGCTCTGGGGCAGGCTCCACCACCTTTGGTGCCACCGGCTCATTAGCAGCAACGTCAACAGCTGTCTTAACACTGGTGTCGACTCTGTAAACAACACAGGCAATCAATGAGTTTGAAGAAAGCACTCGTTGTGCTGGATGTAGAAACACGGAGCAGGGCTTACACTTTCTGTGGTTTGGGCTCAGACTTGGAGGCAACAGATGTGACGGGCACGACGGGGGAGGGGGACAGAGGGCTGGCAGGTGCTGGTGTCGCAGCGCTCTCATCCTCAGTAGTCTCCACCCTGCACATTTGTAGCGAAGCACAAGTGTGCACACACATGAATGCATGTGTGGAGTTGGGCGTGCACACACATAGTTGACAGACAGAGTTACATTTGAAAACTTTGACTCACAGGTTTGTCTTTTGTTTTTAAGGGGTTACAGAGGGAGCATTTACCTTGTAGCCACAAATGCTGGAATGCTGTCGACCAAAGAGGTTTCGGGCTCCGTTTCTTGACTCCTGAGGTTTTTTCAACAAACATTTGTCATAAATTCCTCCAGAAATGCCCAATATTTCATGTGCGAGTGAAGAGTCTTTTTAAAATATGCAACTCACTTCTATTGAGTGTTAAGATTAGCATTGGGAGAGTGACATAAGACATACATACTCATATTTCTTAGCAGCAGAAAGCACATAAGACCGTTGCCTGGCTGAAGATTTCTTCAGAACATTGCTGGCAGCCTCCGTCCTACAAAATGAGTCATTATGATGTTAATGTAATCTCTTTTCCGGGGCATGCGAGTTCAAATTGGATGGCGTGCTTTTGCGTGAGGACAGTCATACCGTTTCTCCTGCTCCTCGTTGCTAAGCTGGTCCTCCTGCTTCTCTAGAGTGGGCCTCACAGTGTAGGGGGCTCTAAGGAACAGAAGCGCAAAACACACACCCATGAAAATACGTTCTCACTCATCTGCCTAGCGGTCAACTGGGAATCTGATTCGTGTTTGCTCACATTTTCTTGTAGCTTTCTGAGGGTTTTTTGATAAATGGTGTTGTTGGTCGACTGTCAAAAAAAAACAACAGATCACATTAAAGCGGGAATGTCTAGTCACATGATTAACTTTGCTTGTTTAAGCAGGAGAAGCTCTTACTTAACGCTGTTAGTTGTTGGAGATGAAGCAGGCTTGTCTAGTTTAGTGAAAATGCCTCTGAAAGAAAAATATCACTAAATTCATTAGTTTTTTCATCAATGTAACATATAGTTCAATTACAAAATGCCCCATTGCGTCCTTTTTTTAAGTGCTCAGATGAATCTACATTTTGGTTTCAAACTGGATTTCTACATGTGCAAGTGTTATTCTTACCTAATCAGGTATCCTGATGACGGTGCTCTAAATTCAAAACAGAGACTCAATGTCAGCACAATGGTGTGTTGGGGTTAGGTCTCCAAGTGCTCGTTAGATAACTCTGTGACATTAGAAGTCTGTGTTTACCTCTCAGCGTCAGACTTGGTGGCTGGCGGTGTGGGTGTTGTTGGTGACGACACTGGACTGCTCTCAATGGGGGCTCCGTTCAAACGGTTGGCCCTTACTTCTGCTAACCTGCATGTTTTCACAGGAACTTGGTTTTGTCTCTTCAAGTGACCGAGTAATGGATAATACGTACAGAACCCTACTTGAACACGTGTCTCACCATGGTTTCTCCTTGTCGGTTTCATCCTCAGGCTCAGCCTCACTGCGGCGCTGCAACCAGCTGCCGTCTCCCTTCAGCTTGGTCCGCACTTTGGTGGTACGGAACACAGATTCTTTTCCCACCTCTGCGACACAAACACGTGCATGTCACATATCAACCCACACACCATCTGAGATATTACACACACGGTAGGCTGCATCATAAGGACATCTTAATCACTGTATGCTTGGTAGCATGCGTGATAATCAGTCCCCTTTGGGCCAACACACAATCAACCACTTTTATTTCTGCATTTACTCAAGGCAATGACAGATCAGAAATGACAGAGAGTCATCAGCTTGGCGCAGAGGTACACAGGCGGACGCGCTCTGCTTTCATTGGAGGAAACACGTCATCTCACATTCAGATCACACCAATCAGCCTACTCACGTTTTGACATGCTTGTTCTAGCGGAGTCTCTCTCTTCTTTGTTCTGTTATCTCTACAAGCCACCTGACAAATATATGGAAAAAACACATCTTGAATTTGCAGAAAATTGAAATTGATCATGACAGTCTTGTCTCAAAATGGCCCTTCCCGCGCCATGTTCCCTCCCAATGAAGGACATGTGCTCTGTGTCATCCTTTAGACATGTAGATGATCCTGTCTGACCACTTCCCCAAAAATACTGGTGTTGCCTAAATGCAAATGAGCTCAGACAACTACATATATTTATGATCCTTTGTGTTTGGATACAAAAAACATTTGCACAGAATGATTTATGTGGGGGAACCCACTTCCCCTGGGAACTAAAGAAGAAAGTAGGCGCAGACCACAGCTCATACAAACTTGTAAAACCAAATTCAGGATGCAAATATATAACGTGTAAAACTCCTAGGGCTGGGAATTCACTCCTTCAAAATCATGTCGCCACAATATCTCTGGAGAATATTGTCCACAATAATGGTGACAGAACAAATACACCGAGGGGTCAGAAAGCATATTTATCTTAGGCTTAGCAAATCGGTCCACGGAGGATAAATGATTGATGAAGAGCAATAGCATTTAAGACAAACGAGGAACAGGATCGACAGCTCTGCTGACAAGCAATCATGACAGGGAAACACCCAGAGAAAATGAGAGAGCAAACACCGACAACCACCTGTTAACACTCTAAACAGTTTATGTGGCATGATTGATTACTTTTAGATTTTCGGTTCTTACAGCTGCTGATTACTGACACTCTGAATACAGAATCTATCCATATACTTTAAATCATGTTGTGAATAACACACCTGCCAGCTGGAGCACCTACCTGCTATCACTTTATATCCAGCAGAGAAATGGCCACCAAGCTCAGTCGAGAGTCTGCGACTAGTGTGTCCCTCTGAGTGTGGCTGGTGTGAGCAGAGGGGAAGTCTTTCTCTGTCAGACAGGTGTCTCGGTCCCTGTGCTAGCAAACTGGTACGGGCGTGAGCACTACCAAGCCCAGTCATTCAAGGAAGATAGGTGTGGGGTGGAGCATAACGTGTTTATCTGTGCGAGTATGTGCGTAATAGAGGTTGCTAAGAACTCATTTGTGTTTACTACACCTGCACTGTGTTCATGGGAGTAGGCAAGCACATACCTGTCGTACAAGGTGGCAAACATTCAATTCTGAGAAGGAGTGAGGCAAAGGGAAGAGGGCGACGCAGTGCACAGCATGGCAGACATAAAGGAAGCAGCATGTCCTGTGGGAACGCTGCTCTCGTGCTCACTGGGTAGGAAACCCCCAGGGAGCACACGCACACACATCATTAAAATTAGATCAACAACAACAACACACACACACACACACACACACACACACACATACACACAACCGAAATGAGAGAAACAGAAACAGAGGCCCACACGTCAATAACAAATAACATCAAAGCCAATCTCATTTGGATGGTATTCTAATTTTGTATTTGAAATAGAAAATGAGTACTTTCATTTGTTTTTGTACAAAGAAAACTGAAACCACCACCTTAAAGTATATCATATCTTACATAATCAGAGTGTAGTAAAATCAATCATGACTTAGTTTCACCTTTTGTAGTTCATATTCTAGGGCGGAGGGCAGGCAAAGCGCAGCACAAAGTAAACGTTTGATCAATGTGAGTGTCTACGCTCCTGCCATTGATCAGCAATCAACAGTAAGCATGGATTGGCCGACCAGTGTTTCAGTACAAAAAGCAATCTCACGCATGTCATACATTTACCGATACTTTTCGAATTAGAAAAGAGTGTGAATAGATTTCACAACATATGAGAGAGAGGGAGGGTGGACGAGGAAATTTGCATGTCCGAGAGCCTAAAGTTCACTGTGGTGAGAAGCTCGGCTCTATTATCTACCTGGATAATCTCTCGCTCCCCTGAACAAGAAACCAGTCAGACGGCCCTGCCTGTGACGCCAGCAGTGAATCATTAGGGTGCTGCTGGTGCGGAAATAAAACGAGAATTCAAACTATCTGAACATAACCCCCACCTTGTTGTCACCACACTAAGACACGGAATGACAAAAATGCTTCACCTCGAAAAGGCGAACTAGCTGTGGCAGCTAATGAATACATTTGACACAAATACTTTGAAAATGAATCACTCTGGTTTGTCAGTTTCGTAACTCTGTTGTTATTAAAACAACAGAATGAAAGCCGGCATGTAAGAAAAAAAAGGAGGGTTAAGAAAGCTTACAATGCATTTGCATTGTCCATCCGATTATCGTATTTGATGACAGTCCTTGAATAGTATTTTAACACTTGGCGCAACTCTCAGAAACACATGCCATTAGGATGATATACAGTATACCAGAGATAATCCAGTATCGGTGTGAAGGTAAAATGTGTTTGGAACATGTGAAAAAAATGTGTGAATTATGCATCTATGGAAAAACACTACATGACCGAAAGTGTGAGGACAGCGTTTCCTTCGAGGGACAATTACCCAAAGAGGGGATTTTGTACTTGTACACAGAAGGTTTGGATGTTACCCATTGATGTGTCGATCTTTTATTTAAAAAAAAAATAAAAATAAAAATAAAAAAATAAAAAAAATACAAACTGCCTCATATTGGCTTTGGCTGAACTTCGATATCAATTTGTGCATATAATGAATGAAGACTGTGGATTTGTCACCCATTTCTTGCATTATAAAGTCACATTAGGAAGAGATCCTTTCATTGTCAGTGTGGACAAGAGGAACAGTTACAGCAACCAAAAATTGTTTTAATGTGCATATATGCATGTGTTGTCTTAGGACACACTTGAAGAAGGTAAGCCTACACTCTAAACTATGGGCAGTAATATCTCTGTCCACATACTTATGGCCATATAAATAAGATTTTCAGGCAGGTTGTTGTGGGAGAATTGTGGTTTAGTGGAATGAATTAAGGCATTTTGACATAAACAGCAGCATCTCAATGCGTGTACAGCACAAGATGAAAATATACAAGAATACAAGTCTTTGCAGTTTTCCCAGTGTAAGATCAGAACATTTATGTGGTCACAAACAGTGGTTTTAACTGGTCACTAAGTGCTTTGAAACTTTGGATAGGCCAGACTGCAGTGTGTGGACCAAAATCAGAGGAACTTGCTGCCATCTGCTGTTGGAAATGGTACATACACGTTGAAAAGGCACCGATATGCTTCACATTGGGAGGTTTAGATAAAGGTAAACTTTCTGTTCCCTCATTCTGAATTGTCCATTCAGGGTCCCTTATTGCTAGAGTGGGTGTAACTGCACAGCCTTACGTGTCTCAACAGTCTTCGTCTCCCTTCTACCCTCAAGCTCCTTGTCTGAGGTGAGGGTAGCTCTGCACTGTACGCGCTATGCCGTCCTTCAGACCGACCACCGGTTTGTAGCCCAGGTCCTGCTTGGCCCGGTCACAGCTGTAGTAGTGATGGGTTCCAGCCAGAGCCACTCTCATTGGTGTAAAGGTGGGTTTAAAGGACACTAGAGGGCGCAGGATCAGGGCCAGAAGCCAGAGGAGCAAGGCCAGGCCGTACACAAGAGTGTAGGGGAGGTGGTAGCGAGGAGCGGCGTATCCCAGACCCACCAACACCTCAGACATGAAGTCCCAGAATCGAACTGGCTCGTCATTGGTGATGTGGTATGGCTGAAAGTAAAGCGGAAGATACAAGTTAAATGATAAAAGGTGTGTGACTCGCAACATGATTGTATGCACAGCATTGTTTAAATCGGCTCTGTGTTTGATTTTATTCTCACTCACTTTTCCACATATGGGAGAGTCTGGCCTCAGGCGTTCAGCAGCCAGGATGTGGCCATGAACTACATTCTCCACAAAGGTGAAGTCCACCAGATTGGTCCCGTCACTGCAGAAAACAAAGACAGAGAATTAAATTAAGAAATACACCATTAAGAATACAAAAAAAAGGAGGTTAATCATTCAGCGCACTGGTACAGCGGTCCGTGGGTCTGAGCGACTATCGCTAAAGAAATTTAAACTTTTCAAGTGGCAGGGGAGACGTGGGTCGGCCGGTGTGTGTGTGTGTGTGTGTGTGTGTGTGAGAGAGAGAGAGAGAGAGAGAGTGAGAGAGAGATTTAAGAGGAGGGAGAGTGGAGGTGTAAGTAGGTGTATAAGTAGGTTTGAGAGATAAAAAAAAAAGTCTGAATCCAGTATTTGACTACAGCGTGAAAACATAAATTAATGCAAATATGATTTTAGAGAAGTATTATGGTAAAAACAAGTTAGAAAGGTTAGCAGAACAAGCTGCAGCCTCTGAATACTGGAGCCTCACACGTCGTTGATGATTCAACAGCGTGCACCTCAATACATATTCATATTTTTTACTATTTGCAGTGATTATTGCTGAAACCAGTTGGATTGGCATCATTGGTTAAACCCCTACGACTTACCCGATGATGAACTTCATCTTGCCCCTGCGAGCCGCGTCCACTAGAATAGGAACCAGCTGGGGGTCCCGAGGGCCAAAGATGCCATGAGGCCGGATGGCAACTGTGAGGAAACCCTTCTCCTTGTCACAAGCCTCAAGGACCAGCTGAAACACAAAGACAGTAGAACATATTCCTACTCTGCATCCTTATTCCTCTCATCTCTCTCGTGGGTGTGGCTGATTGTGAAGGGCATGGATCAGATGACGTGCAAACAACAGAGGAAGTCCTGGAAAGATGTACTCACTGCTGCTGAAGATTATATTGTGTTGTTGTATGACGCTGACAAAAAATACAGCTAAGTATACAAAGAAAAATCTGCTACTCATGAGTAAGGAGTAAGATGTAAGAACTATTAAATCATTGATTCATTACATTTATTTATTCCTTTTCAAAATCAGAGCTGAAGACACTGGGATCAGTATATCACAGGGCTAAAACACACAGCTATGTGCAATTTAGAGGCTCCATTTCAAACTGAGGTTTGAGGAAGGTCACATATACTAAAGTGTTGTGGGGCAGCAACAGCACAAACTGGGCTACACTGGTGAAACCAATACTAAAAATACCACTCTCCAACCTTTTCTTGCTCAATCTTGGTCTCTGTGTAATAGTCGATGGGCTTCTTGGCGTATGGTAGATCCTCTCTCCCATTCTTAACGTCCGTCCCTTCAAACACTACACTGGCACTGCTCGTCAGGACCAGTTTCTGGCAAAAAAAAATAATAATCACAAAACAGTTAAGCCACTTCGATGGCATCTTTCATCCCTGAACAGTGAATAGCAGGCATAAACAAAAAAAGAAAATCCTAGCATCTCACCACAACCCCTCCTCCCTCCACTGCCTCACCTGTACTCCAGCCTCGACGCAGGCCTCAATGACGGTGCGTGTGCCCTGAATGTTGACCCTCTCAAATAGCCCGCGGTCATCGCTGGAAGGGGCAGGAGAGGCACAGTGGAAGACCAGGGACACATCCTTCAAAGCCAACAGCAGAGCCTGGAGCAGAATGTGACACACACCTTACAGCTATTGACAATTGTTCCATGTCTAATACACTGCTCAAAAAAATAAAGGGAACACTTAAGCAACACATCCTAGATCTGAATGAATGAAATAGTCTTATTAAATACTTTGTTCTTTACATAGTTGAATGTGCTGACAACAAAATCACACAAAAATTATCAATGAAAATGAAATTTATTAACCCATGGAGGTCTGGATTTGGAGTCACACTCAAAATTGAAGTGGAAAAACACACTACAGGCTGATCCAACTTTGATGTAATGTCCTTAACACAAGTCCAAATGAGGCTCAGTAGTGTGTGTGGCCTCCACGTGCCTGTATGACCTCCCTACAACGCATGGGCATGCTCCTGATGAGGTGGCAGATGGTCTCCTGAGGGATCTCCTCCCAGACCTGGACTAAAGCATCCGCCAACTCCTGGACAGTCTGTGGTGCAATGTGGCGTTGGTGGATGGAGCGAGACATGATGTCCCAGATGTGCTCAATTGGATTCAGGTCTGGGGAACGGGCAGGCCAGTCCATAGCATCAATGCCTTCGTCTTGCAGGAACTGCTGACACACTCCAGCCACATGAGGTCTAGCATTGTCTTGCATTAGGAGGAACCCAGGGCCAACCGCACCGGCATATGGTCTCACAAGGGGTCTGAGGATCTCATCTCGGTACCTAATGGCAGTCAGGCTACCTCTGGCGAGCACATGGAGGGCTGTGCGGCCCTCCAAAGAAATGCCACCCCACACCATTACTGACCCACCGCCAAACCGGTCATGCTGGAGGATGTTGCAGGCAGCAGAACGTTCTCCACGGCGTCTCCAGACTCTGTCACGTCTGTCACGTGCTCAGTGGAACCTGCTTTCATCTGTGAAGAGCACAGGGTGCCAGTGGCGAAGTTGCCAATCTTGGTGTTCTCTGGCAAATGCCAAACGTCCTGCCCGGTGTTGGGCTGTAAGCACAACCCCCACCTGTGGACGTCGGGCCCTCATACCACCCTCATGGAGTCTGTTTCTGACCGTTTGAGCAGACACATGCACATTTGTGGCCTGCTGGAGGTCATTTTGCAGGGCTCTGGCAGTGCTCCTGCTGTTCCTCCTTGCACAAAGATGGAGGTAGCGGTCCTGCTGCTGGGTTGTTGCCCTCCTACGGCCTCCTCCACGTCTCCTGATGTACTGGCCTGTCTCCTGGTAGCGCCTCCATGCTCTGGACACTACGCTGACAGACACCGCAAACCTTCTTGCCACAGCTCGCATTGATGTGCCATCCTGGATGAGCTGCACTACCTGAGCCACTTGTGTGGGTTGTAGACTAAAACTTCAGCCAGAAAGCATAGGAACTGAGAAGTGGTCTGTGGTCACCACCTGCAGAACCACTCCTTTATTGGGGGTGTCTGTCTTGCTAATTGCCTATAATTTCCACCCGTTGTCTATTCCATTTGCACAACAGCATGTGAAATTGATTGTCAGTGTTGCTTCCTACGTGGGCAGTTTGATTTCACAGAAGTGTGATTGACTTGGAGTTACATTGTGTTGTTTAAGTGTTCCCTTTATTTTTTTGAGCAGTGTATATATGAGGTCAAATGTGCAGGCCCTTAATTAAATACTCAAGGTGCCATGCAAGGCCTACATGTCTCTGTCTTATCTATATTGTTCCAGAATGTTGCCAGTTTTTGGTCTTGTCTTTAGTCAGGTCAAGTCTCACAACAGTCAAGTCCACATTTTTTGTGATTGATGTGGTGCTCGAAGGGGGCAAGTGTCACCTGTTTGTCGCAGAGGTCTCCCTGGTGGAAGGTGACGCCAGGCAGCTCGTAGCTCTGGCGGATGTCGAACACAGAAACGGAGTAGCCTCGACCCAACAGCTTCTCCACCAAGTGTCTGCCCAGGAAGCCAGAGCCCCCGATGACTGCACACCGCTTACTGCTCTGTATGACACCGGTTGATACATGTCAAGCGAGCAAACAGCACTGGCATCATGAAAAAGTTCAAACTGATTTTGCACCATTAAAAGAAACGTCTCAACTCACCGGTCGCACGCGCGTGGCCATGATGATGAGGTGAGCGAAAGAGTCAGTCACCGTGGTGAAAATATGTTCCCTTACAAGTGGAATAGTAAGTAACGAAGAGTTTTCCGAATTATATAAAACGCAGGACCTAAATGTGACAACTTTTAACACAAGACGCACGGAATAAACTACTGTATTTACCTGCGCGTGCAACGAAAACACGTATAAACTATGAACTGTCTGAATGAGCTGAGTGACAAGTGGTCTGTGATTGGTGGAGCCAAAGCTCAGCACGAGGATGATGTTTGAGAGTGGCCAATGGTGTACAAGATACGTCAAAGAACGCCACAATTTAAACCAATCGGAGCCCACGAAATGGTTCTTTCCACCTCCTCGCTCAAAGACCACGCCCCCTGGTATTCGTCAGATCAACGACACAGCGGGTAAACGGAAACTTGTTTAATGTAGCTTTTGTCCTTAAGCAGCCTAATGATTTTTTCCGAGAACATTTTCTCCTTCCCTGGGCTTTTGTTTTCATTTTTGTATTTCGTTTGCTCATGCATATCATTGAGCTCAACATTAAATAAACAGAGACAGATAAACCAATGTCCATATGACTGCCGAATACCAGTTGATTTCAAATAGAACTACAGTATGAAGGAAAAACGTGTAGGCTAATAGAAGAAAGGGATAATAGTAAAGAGAAAAAAAGTAAAAGAAACAGCTATAATAAAAGAAAACAAGTATTTAAACGTATAGTTGATATGATAACATATTTGAGGTGAGTAGCCATAGGCTAGCCACAGAGTATAGCTGTACTACTCCGGACCCTTATGAACCATTTCCTCTAAAATCTAATCTGAAATTAGACAAATTGTCTCATGAACGTGATTTGAAGTTAGCTCATGAATGAGATTTTGAAGGGCTTTAATTTTGAAATGCTACATCAGAATGTCCTGGTCCTCTCTGAGTGACACCTTGAGGTGGTCTGCTATTAACCTGTAGTGAAAATATTTTTGTAACGATGCACCATTTCTTTTCAAATCTAATCTGAAATTCAAAGGAAGTTGGCTCATGAATGACATTTTGACGGTCTTTAATTTTGGTCAGAAATGTCCTGAACACATACAGATCAGTACGTCAGATATTATTAATTTCATTATCTTTCCAGCAACCCTCAAATCAAAGAATAAAGACACAATTTGGTTGTATTTTCCCTTTAACTCACGAGATGCAGGTAACATATTTTATACTTAATGTTAATATAATTAATTTAATCTTATTTCCACAAATGCAATTTGTATATACGCTTAGTTGACATCTTATTTTGGAAACCGGAGTTGTCTGACGGCAATCTTTCACGCTTATTTGACATCTTATTTTGAAAACCGGATGTTGTCTCACGTTAATCTTTCCGCTAACTTTGCAAAGTCCTTCGCTCGCTCCCGATCTGTGCCGTTTGAATGCGTTTACCGTGAATTTCAGCATATAGGCGCACTGAAATGTAAGTGTCTGCTGGGTTGACCACGGAGATCCGAGCTTCTGCTGACCTCACCGCAGTACCATCTTTTCTGTTAAAACGCTAATCTGAGGTCTGCAGACACTAGATGGTGTATTGAGATGCGCGAGGAGCAAATGCACCATTTATATTATGCAATGTGTAATATCATGTATTTTGCAATAAATATGAAACAAATACTTTCCCATGCTTCATATTCTGTCTCAGTGTTTTATATTTCTACAGGAAATCAAAGGAGGTTTCATTTCAGTCTCCAACGGCTCTGAATTTTCTGATCGTGCCTTGCACCACGTGATCTTCAGCAGCCAATCATCTTTTTGCCCGACTGGTGCGTTTGATTTTGACTCCCGCTTGTGCCTGATTGTGTCCTGCTTTAATTGCTCAATGCAGATCAAATAATCGGCTTGTCTGCTAACACAAAGGGTGAACAAATCAAACGCCTGGGGCTCCATAACAGCAGCTCCGGGACGGACAAACCTGTGCATGTTGTTAGCTAGAAACGTCAATTTTCCGCGCGTTTTAGCAGCCGTTCCTGCGAAATAAATAGAAGGTTTTGAGGAATAGGAGACTATCTTATTGTCAGGGTAATTAAACAGGTAATGCGAGCAACTGATGAAGTATAAACCGTTTGATCATCTCCTCCCTAAATGATAGGAAGGCTTCATAGACCAGAGGACAACATATTGCCTAATAGATCTGCAGCTCCTTTTTGTCAATCAAATAAACAGCAACCGATGGTGAGTTTAAATGTTTCATTCTAACCTGAATGTTTGTTAGTGTGTTGCATTGGAGGTGATGGGAATATACATTATTCCTTTCGGGGAGGTGCTACTTTTTACCCAGGCACCTCTCTGATTCTGTTGTCATCATAATGGTTCTTGTGTCTAGTCTACAACAATGAAGAATTGTTTCCCTCTGCCTCCCCTCCTGTGTCCCCACCAGGCAACCAGTGCCAAGAGACCATCCCTGCAGGGTCCTGTGCCACCTCCTCGCAAGAAGACGACCCCCAAACCAGAGCTGACCGAGGAGCAGAAGCAGGAGATCAGGGAGGCCTTCGAGCTGTTTGACACCGATGGATCCGGATACATCGATGTCAAGGAGCTGAAGGTAAAAGTGCCCGGACGCTGATCACAACCTCACGTGTGGTGTCAGAGGGGGGGGGGGGGGACAGTTTTGTGTGTGTGCTTCACTCTCTCACGTTTCTCACACTGTGCCAGGTTGCAATGAGAGCTCTGGGGTTTGAACCAAAGAAAGAGGAGATCAAGAAGATGATTGGCGACGTGGATAAGGACGGCACAGGGAAAATCTCTTTCGCTGACTTCCTCTCTGTCATGACTCAGAAAATGGTAGATATGTCATGAAATATGCTAAATATGCAACCCCAACTGTCCTTTATTTGTCTTTACTTTCAAAAGGAGTTACTGGTTTTGTCCTGCAGTCTGCAGAATGCCGATTTTAAACCAGTTTATATATTAGAGCCCACAAACTGCACCCTGTTAGCCACATTTAGATTGACCGTTAACAGGTATTGCTTTTCATTGGCACACAAACTGGCCACATTTCTGTTGTCTGTTCTTTGACTCCTACATACCCCCTGCAGAATGGCTGTTTGTGGTAAAACTACTCTCCATCTTTTCTGATTTTAGGCCGAGAAGGACTCCAAAGAGGAGATCCTGAAAGCTTTCCGCCTGTTCGACGACGACGAGACGGGCAAGATCTCATTCAAGAATCTGAAGAGAGTTGCCAAAGAGCTGGGAGAGAACCTCACAGATGAAGAGCTGCAGGTAAAGCACACCATTATGGAATGAAACAATATTAAGATACATGAAGACTCACAGCAGACTACTGAAGCTCACAGGCCGCTTGTGTTTCCAAGACAATGGTTTTTGAATCCGGTCAACACACAATTGTGCAAATGAATGCTTCTAAACTACCTTGATTTGCTTCCTACATTCTTCTTTTCATCTCCTGTTATATTGTGCGTCTCTGTAGGAAATGATAGATGAAGCAGACAGGGATGGAGATGGAGAAGTCAACCAGCAGGAGTTCCTGCGCATTATGAAGAAAACCTGCCTGTACTGAAGGAAGTGCATGACATTGGGTTTGTTGATGTGGAGGGGTCCAGTGGTGGTGTCACATGTAATGCTGCTCGTATATCTAATTCACCTTTCCTTATTATTGTGTTTTTATTTCCACTTATAGTCAATCAAAAGGTTTAACTGTCACATACTGTCACTGGAAGAAAGTTGTATAAGACTCGTGGTCAATTGCCAAAATATCATCCTCTGACTTACATGATAATCTACATTACATTTGCCCAAAAAAACGAAAGAGATCACTCTCTTTCCTGCTTGGAATGCTGCATACTTTCATGAAGAATACATTTGTTGTATTAAGGATAATATGTAGGTTATTCATTGTCAAGAAATCTCAGTGCCTATGTCAATACAGTGACAAACACAGTACATTCCAATGCTTTGATTGATGGTACAGTATGCGCATTAAATTTGGTTTACACTGGCAACTCCGGTGTTTCATGTTTTAGCTCGTGTAACCGCTGTCTCACCTCAGTGCTACCTGTGGATTTGTGCCTCTTAAAACAGGTGATTCCACTATCTTTAAAATATGATTGATTGTGTATGCATTTTTCGTGTAGCATTGATTATGTATCCCTCTGTGTATAACGAATGTATAATATACAAAATACTCTGTATTCTTGAATGTTTTGTAAGATGCATAGTGACTTTAATGAGTAGATAAACAGCATATAAGTGTTTACGGTACAAATTAAATATCTTGAAGCAGTTTTTCCTGTCTTTTATGATTTATTACTATAAGCATCCCTCATATTTCATCTAGTTATCAGTGTTTGAACGGCTTGACTCCTGTTTTTTTCTTTTTACTCACATCATTCATTTTACTGCTGCCGATAAATTATTTACAGGAAGATGCTGCTACCTTACCACAGCATATTGACTCAGTTATCCAACCCGACTATTAAAAACAATCAAGTAAATGCAAAGCGTGATGCAATAAATGTGGATAAGCTGCTGTGCTGAACAGGAATATACCGCTCTTCTCTTTCAGGCAGCCCAGGAAAAAATAATGACACCCCAAGGTTGTAAATGGTGGTGGTTGCTATATCCAGAGCATTGCTGTGCAGGTAGCCAGGGATCAGGTAGCTGTCCATGACTACCGGAACAGAAAAGAGGACGGTCTGAGCTACCTGCAGGGTCAGGGTCACACAGGCTCTCTTGGTGCAGAGTGGTCCTGCACGCATGTCCCAGCAAAGCAGACAGAAGCACCCCAGGATGGTCAGAGAGCAGAGAGGCACCACAAAAGCAGTTCCCACTGTGCAGTAAAGTACCAGACCCGATGTCCCTGACAGGCAGGGCGTAAGGATGAGAGGACCACAGCGGGGAAGGGTAAAGTTGACCTGGACGGAGTTTAGGTTGAAACCCAAAGCCATGCTGCTGAGCACAGCTGATAGTGTCCATATCGCTGCAACAGTTGCTCTCTTCCTTTGAGGACACATCAATAACTCATAGTGCAGGGGCCACTTGACAGCTACAAAGCGGTCCATAGCCAGAGCTGTGGTCAGGAAGAGGTCCACCTACACAAAAAAGCGAGGACATAAAGTAGATGCTTTTTATTTTCTGTTACCTGCCACGTCAAGGTTTTAGAAGTGCAGTTTTCATAATAGATGAGTCACAGCAGGCAGACTGTCTACAGAGTGTAGAGCATGAATTTAGGTCACATTTATGTCCATGGCCGTGCTTTTAAAGAGGCCTCCAGATAAAATGAGTATTGTTTTTACTGTGAATTACTGTGCTGCCCTTTGGTCGTATATTTGTTCTACTGTGAATAATTCACAAATAACACCCTGCATGGAAATTAAGCAACTCCACAGTGGAGATTTTATACATTAATGATATGGAGTAAGCATGAAAAACTCAAAACAAATTATTAGTGGATGTACATTATCAGGACTACACAATAAGTTAAAGGATAGGTTTACATTGTTTAAACAATAATCGCATGCCCATTGTTACATTGAAGGACTTATTGGTCGCCGCAGATGTGCCTCCTGTCCATACTGGCTGTGAGGAGATTCCTTCTGAATGCCATCGCAAAATCCACAGTCTTCAAGCTAAAATGAATTTCAAAATCAGCCAAAGGTAAAATAACTTTGTATCTTTTACCTTTACTGTGTTTTTAGTAGAACATTCTCTCTTTATGTTACTACTGTTTTCCTCCACCAGAGCTCAACTGTCTGTGGATACCAAAAGAGGATTTTTCTGCCTTTGAAAAGACTAAAATCTAACTTTGTAGATACCAATTGATGTGACTGCTGGTAAAACTAAAGAAGTTGTTTTTACACAGAACGAGGATTCAATACATTTTGTCCTCATTACTTAGACTGCATTGGAATCACATTAGGAAGAGATCAGTTCTTGGCAAATATAGACAAGGAACAATTACAGTAAGAATTCTGATACTTATGGGCATAAGAGATTTGAAAACATGAGGCACAATGAGTAGGATTTTCAGTTTTCAGGACGTTTCGGGGCTTCAACCTCTACAAAAACGTAGCAACCAGGTGCCAGATCACAAGCATGCATCCAAGAGGAAGCCACGAAAATGTAAAAAAAAAAAAAGAAGCTAATATACCCAGGCAAGACGCCAAGCTGACAAAGCCCGTTCCAAAATGAGGTTGAATCTGGGGTTGTCTTTCACCCAAGGTGAGCACCTTAACTCTTGTTGAGCCGGGGCCAACTTGGGACACTGAATGTTGGGATTACAAACCGAAATCGACAAATCCTACTCTTTGTGTACTGCCAATTCATATCCCAAAGAACTGGATGTTGTCATAGCTTAGAGTGACTAAAACAGACATGGATCTCATAAATATAATCAATGTTTTACAAACCAAAGAGCAGGCCTGGATAGCAGCACAGAAGATCAGACACTGGGTCACTGGCATACCTTCCCTGGATCTTAAGAGAACTGCTTTGATTGTCCAGAGGAGCAGCTGGAATGGTAATGATGGTGATCATCTAGCTCAAAGGGCTTTTTTCATCACCTCAGTTGATTAAAAAAAAAACAGGTGTACTGGAACGCTTCAAAATGAAAGAGTGTAGATCTACCTGGAGGTTTTCACACAAGAGTGAGGAGCAGGAAGCGAGTGTGTCTGAGGAGGGACGCGGAGCACGTGATGACCAGGAGTAGAGGAACACTGAGTACGGTGTTCAAGGTGCAGCTCACACACACATGCTGACCATCTCCACCAGGTGGTAGACGGTGGAGTCGATCCGTGTCTGAGTCTCTAGTGAGGTCACATCGCAGGATATCCATGACATGAAGCTCCCTCTGATTTGCTTTTCCAGATACTCTTGTAAAAAATTAATAAAACATACAAGTGTTAGCACCTGCGTAGCTTAAAGACCAAATTAAAATCACGTGTGCCTCATCTCAAATGAGTAAATAAAGATGTTATAGACTCACCCTCACATCTGTGTCTCTTGATGGTCAACAGTCAGTTTCATTCTAATGACTGATCGAGACTGAATCTTCTCGTCATGTGCCAGCGTCACAGGCTGTGCATTTACTCAGCTCCACCACATCAACGTGTCAGACCTCATCCCTGTGGACGGTGATGTGTCAGCTAGTGTTTGTTATCAGGATCACATTTGCTTATTTACACAAATGGTCTGGGACAATATTAATGCATTTGTACAGAATTGTATTCTACCTGTCAATATTTGCCCGATAGCAGAGGTGCAGTCATGGAAAACATAACGCCATCCTCTCACACATTACCACATTTATGTAACATATTTTTAAAAGATGTTTTAAACTTGGACTAGAAAAAATAATTTTGTAACCCAACAATCCCGTAAATGAGTAGATCAGTATGAACCCTCTATAACCAAAGGGACTGAAACCAGATTCAGAAAATTACAAATTATATGTAAAAGTAACTTCCAAAATCTATAATGTTAAAACGATTAACTAAAATCAAAATGTCAAACCATTTAATGTACAGTCACATTTAATCTTTATTTATAGAGTTCCTAACAGGAAGATAAAACCAGTAAAATACATGGATAAAAATCATACGTTTACCGTACAGTACAATGCCAATCACTGGAAGATTCCAGCAAATATTAGATACCAGGGATGAATTTCATTGTTTGACACGGCCTCTCTCTCTCTCTCTCTCACACACACACACACACACACACACACACACACACACACACACACACCCGGGAAAATGAACTTAATGTTTAGGCTCAGATCGTTTTTCAGTGCCAGTAGACCCAGTCTAACAATCACATGCTGATGAACACAGAAATTACATGGAAAACATTGAAATAGATTCATTATCAATAGTCACAGCTGCATTTCAGAATGTGAACAGGTTTGAACACGTGCAGCTCAGTCCATGGCTGCAGGTACAGAGAGCATCAGGATCTCAGCTTTGACTTAGTTTAGTCTTGGAGGCAAAGTCTGCACTGAGTTTACGCATCACTTCCCCGTGGCTTTGTCCCGTTAGCCCCTGTCGTACAGTCCCGTAATTCTCTTTGACAAAGTTGGCAAAAGGTGTGGGGGCCCGCGGCTTGGCAGACGTCAGTAAGACAAGTTGTCCTTTGCAGAGGGCACACGCGAACCTCTGCGTGTCCAGTGACTTGGAATGACGCCCGATCCTGTGAAGAATCATGAATTATATTACCCGGTGGGAAAGTGGCACAAAACTCAGTAAAAGCAAAGGTGGATAGTGAAGAGCGACAGGAGGTTAATGACTAGGAGGTTTTAGTCAATGTGTCCAAAGAGTCAAGACGTACGTGTTCTGGCAGCGGGTGCACTGGTACTGGAATTTGTACTTGATGTCGTAACTGTGGCAGCGGGTGACCATGGGCAGCTCAGGATGCGCCATAGTGGACTTGCGAGCATACAGCTTCCAGAAGTTTCCGTGGCCGTCCCTCACGCCATTGATCAGCCAGGTTGCAGCATGACACATCTCATGAATCAGCGTGTCCCTGAGACGATCTAGGAAGGGGCAATGAGGAGATGGTGATGAAAAGATTCAATCCAGCATAAACAGACAAGAGGATTTGACTATGCATGACATCACATATTTACATTCAGGGACTTTCAAGCAGACAGTTTATTACTTTGCTATATCTGGCTTACTAAAGCTTTACCTGCAGAATCACAGACTTTCTCCGACAGTTCAATGCGGCCATAGCGGTTCCCTCCACCTCGCTCCTGACCGGTGATACAGTAACCGGCTGTTTTCCGCATCTTCTTATTCCAAGTCACCGACATATCGATGGGGAGCTAGAAGTCATGTCAGACAAGGAAAAATAATACATTCTACATGTTAACAAAGCGATTACACAATCATTGAATACAATCAAAATCAGGTGAAAATTCAGACAGAATCAAAAGAAGGGAAACACTGTTGTTCATCACCTTACTGTCAAACACACTGGTATTGTACAGCTGGTACAGTCTACTGGTGAGTTCTTCCTTGTTCTGCTTGAAATTGCGGCCATAGCTGGAGCCAGGGTTTGATAATGACTGCAAGAAGCACCCGGGGGTCTTACACGGTGCTACCCTAGAAGGGAAAGAACAGGTGAACGCAAGACAAATGTCTGTGTATGAAAGACAGACTGGAGTGAGCGACGTTCGAGTCTGTATATGAAAGCTGCTCAGTAGATGTACCTGCTGGTGGGGCCGTGTCTGGGCTCTGTCTGACTCACTGTGGGCTTCAAGATGTTGGGTTTTCCAGGTGTCGTCACACTCAGAGGGGTTTCCCCAAATAATTTAGAGGCTGGTGTTACAGGTGTCTTTACAGGAGGAACTGACACAGGAAAATATGTAATCACAAAAGATATCAACAACTAGAATACAAAAACAACACCTAGAGATTGTTTAAAATGCGACAATCCAAACAAAACAAGTTACCATGGGTGCTCCTAGGTGAGAATGTCGTGCCAGTGAACTTGTTTTTATTTTTCAGTCTCTCCAGCAGGGATGTGAACTCCTCCTCAGAACTGTCTGATTCATTCAGCTTAGAAGGTGCAGATAGATTGCGTTTTGGAGAGGCCAGGGATGTTAGAGTTTTGTGGGGAGGAAAAGGAAAAGGAGAATGGACGGAAGGGAAAGGCAGCGGTGGCGAACTGTCCTCTTCATCACACCGCAGAGCATTATTCTTGTTAGCCTTTGGCAGGGTTTTAGGTTTTAAATGGCGAGTCCTCCAAGTGCTCTTGACCACAATATTATCGTCATCATCATCATCACTGTCACTAACGAAGACTGGGGAGTCACAGTGAGATAGCGGTCTCCTCGGTGGAAGCTGGGCTGCTGGAGTGTTGCTCTTCTTAGGCACTGTAAAACAGTGGACACAAAAACATCACTGTTATACACATATAGTGTTAAGTGCCCTTTCTTTGAAATATAACAGAACATCAGCACTGATAGGGTCTTTCAAAGTTACCTTTAAAAGATGGTTTGGTCTTAATAAAGTCATCATCTGATGAGCAGTCATCCACTATGAACTTTTTGAGGCTTAAGCAAAAACAAAAGAGAAAACATATTTTTAAAAACAGAATTTTCCAGACATTGACAATGATTTAGTCGAAGAAAAATACATTTAAAGAAAGAAAGAAAGCTCACCTATCTTCACTCCCACTCTCTGATATTTTCTTAGGCTTGACATTAGGGGTTTTCACTCGTTGCAGAACTTCAATGTGCAAAATGAGAATTAAGGAGAGTAAGATGAAGTGCATAAAAGATGTTTTCCTCATCATCTAACTGATGAATCTACTGTTGCAGATACAGAGAACTGTACCCAGAAGAAAAAGGTTCCTTACATGTCTCGAAACCGTCGTCATCGTCCGAGCTCACCACAACAACATTTAAACTAAAAAAACAAACAAAATGCTTTAGAACATAGAACTAAACAGAAAACTTTAAAGAGAGAAATGAAATGGTAAAAGTGAAACCAGAAAAAACACAAAGATGTTGCTTCATGAAAACATTTTCCGCTCACTCCGTACCTGACTTTCTTTGCAACACTACGTGGCTTCAGTGAGGCAGGTTTGGTCTTCGGTGTAGCCCTTCCCACAAGAACTAAGGAATAAAAAGGTCAAATGAACACATTAGTGTTTGTAAACAGAGTCATTCAATTCAGCAATATGAATTCATACACTTTAACTCACATTGGTCAAAATCCTCATCGCTGGACTCAATCAAGGGCTTGTTTCTGTAGCCGTTGCTCTTGAAGTATTGGTTCTCCTTCTCCGAGTTATCTTCACTATCAGAGCGGGAAAGCTGGACCGGAGAGGCCGAGTGATCCACCGATCGATGCCCTCTCGTGGCAATATTTCGAGTTTTACCAATCGAGCTCATCAGCTACAAACAATAATGACAGACAGAAAATAAACATGCCCAACATTTAAATAGAGATGCTACTAACGATTATTTTCATCATCAATGAATCTGTTTATTTTCTTGATTGATAAATTAATAATTTTGTTAATGAAATTGCAAAATTGTATTTTTTATTACTTGTTTTAGTCGACCAAGAGTCCAAAATAAATATATATTCCGTTTGCTATGATAGATGACTATAAAAGCACAATATCCTCACATATAAGAAGCTGGAAACAGCTTTTGCTTGTAAAAAATACTAAAACGATTCCATTCTCAAAAGAGTTAGAGATTTAATAGCTTTCACTCTACTTATCATTTAATATGTTTGTATACTAGCAATAATATTTATCCCAGTGACCCAAAAACACATAACGTTAGCTTATAGTGAAATATAGTGAAACAAACCTTTTTTTCTGCTGTGTCCAGTCCTCCCTCGTCAGCCCAGCCCATCTTCTTAGCAACTCCTTGAAATAGTTTGCGGGTATCATCATTCATTGTTTCCCCTGCTCTGTGAAAACGGTACACAAGTCAACACGACATTTAACATTTAAAGTCCAGCGCTAACGTCAAACCTTTCGAATATAATTAACTAACGATATAAACACTCAGTGCGGCTAAATGGTGGTTAAAACAACCGTTCAACCTGTTCGTTTTAATGCAATTAGTCTGTTAACAGGTTCTAAATGTACACACGCGCTTACTGTAGAAAGAAACGTTAGCGTCACTGTTAGCAACTTGCTAGCTAACATTAGGTCTGGACTCGAGCTAACATTTTGAAAGCGGTTCAGACTTTTCCCTTAGTATGCATGAACCGCACACTGAATATTAATAGTTTTGCTAAAATAATATATATTTGATTCAACAGATGATTACCAAATTCGCGTCTGCTGTAAATACAAGACGTAGGGATGACAAACCGAGCTAAACGATGGTAAATTCAAATATTGTGCTCCATTAGACCGGAAGTTGTCGATGAACACATTCGACCAATCGAAGCGGGTTTATATGACAAGAGGACGTTATGTCCACGCCCACCATCATAGAGATACAGCGCCGCTGTTCGTGTGAAAACCAACCTAAAGAAAAGCTACAAAGCGGGCTCGACTACAGTTAACATTTGTATACAGAAAACGTGTGAATATATATACTTTTTAATATTAGATTGCTGGCGGAATTATTCAACTGTATTATGGTAAAAAAATAATGTCAATCTTAAAGTTGTCGATATCGGACAGAATGGTCCAGACCCTAGCAAACACTACAGTGCCTCAACATTACCACTAGCATCTGAACTTTTCAATTTGAGCACATGAATTTGTTAATGTTGAACTCAGAACTTTTACTCAGAACTTTGGCATTGTGAAACCTCGAAATTTACTTCATTAAAAGATATGAATACATGCTCCTCTAGTGGTCTTTTTTCACCATTGAGAGCACATATACCTGGCAACCCATAGCAGATTAAACATCTTTTATATCATTACAATGCACCAAAAAGACTAAATCTATTTGAGCAACTATCAATTCTTCACTTATTTTACAATTATTGCCGCAAAGAGAGCCTATGCTAGCTATCTAAACAACAAAAAGGTTTATTGTCCCAACAACTGAATCAAGCAAGCACAAAATACCGTATCAGAGTTCTGCCATCTCTTTATTCTTTTTAATTATATTTAGAACCTCGCGGCATTATTGACAGCATACAGTTAACGGACAATACAAAAAAAAAAAAAAAAAAAGCTTAGAAAATACTTACCTAGGCCGTTCCTGGTTTGTGTGATTAAAAAACAAGATCAATTTGACATCTAAACTGAAATTTCGGCCCTTTCCAATGAATTGAAGCTCCCATGACCAGCTTTGTCCAATCATTTTTACAAGCATGGTGTGACATCAAACAGAACAGCCATTAAACATATTCCTGGACTGACAAAATCAATAAAATCTGGCATTTGGTGAAGGGAAGAACACATTCCTCAAAACTTCCACATCTACTCGTAGTAATTAAACAGTTTAAGACAAACTAAAGAGCAATCTCCGTTGCGATCTAAGTTTTACAATTGCATGTTAAAGCTGATGAAACTTAAGAGTTACAATTTCAATGGTGCAACATTGTCCCTTTTAAAACACAACACTCTTAATCCATTTATAAATAGATTAACAAGAAATGACGGTTGAGTATTTTCTCCACAAGCTGCAGATAATCTCTCACACACACACACACACACACACACACACACACACACACACTTCACTGATCCAAGTACAGAAGGGTTAGCAGGGCATTCACAAGCTCACCAAATATACTGTGTTTTAGGACAAGAGTCTCAGACGAGATGCCTGAAAGTCTCAGGCTGCATCTGGCTCAGGAAATGCAGATGTGTGAGGAAACAACGGGTGTGACGGGGAAAAGTGTGTACATCTGTAGGCTCCTTCACAAATAAGAGTCCCATTTATAGTAGAGGAGAGCAATGGAGACAATCATTGAGGGAGAGGGCTGGAGTGGACACTGACCATTCCAAGCAAGAGTGTCAACAATGGTTTAACAAAACAAAAAGACGGGGGGAAGGGCTGGATAGGATTTGGGGTATAAAGGGACAAGAATTCAGCATGCTTCCAGTTCAGGCATTGTCACTGGCCTCTACTGAATGGATGTTGATCAGGGGTTCGGGCTTTTTGCCGTTGCTGTGGTGCTCCCACATCTGCAGATAGAGCCGCTCCAGGTCAATCGTGTACTGCTTGGTGTTGAAAAGAGGGCTGCAGATCCGCTGCTTCCAAACACGCGCTCTGACCATCTTCAGGCTAAAAAAAGGAGACAAAATAAAATAGTCAAGACTTCAGAGTTCAACAAAGATGTGTTTTCAAAAGAAGTCGATCAAATTCTACTTACTATTCCATGTCAGAGCCCAGCTTGACTGCTATGTCCTCATAATCCTGACGACTCTGCGCTATTAGCTCAGGGCAGCCCAGACAGTAGAGTTGTGAGGCAGCCACACGGGAGGCAAGGGTCTCACCTTAAAAACCAGGCGTTACAATTAAAAAGCAGCCTTCACTTGAAATGTGCTCTGCGTACTTGGTATCTTGTCAGAGAAAATGTGTAAAATGATTGTATTGCAGAGTATTGCAGTAAGATTGACTCAAACATTTGTATGAAATTAGCAACCAACAGTTGTAAGCCCGCCCCTCGATACCCTAGTTTCCTAACCTGGCATGGTGACCATGGGTGTTCCAGCCCAGAGGACATCCATGCCTGTGGTGTGACCATTGCACAGAGGAGTGTCTAGACACACATCAGCCAGCTGGCCCCTTCTCACGTGCTCCTCCTTGGGGGCCACAGGAGAGAAGATGATGCGAGAGCCAGGCAGACCCATATTCAGAGCGTACTGCTGGATGTTGGGCTCGCCGACGGCCGGGAACCGGAGAAGCCACAGCACACTGTTGGGCACGCGCTTCAGGATCTGCGGGGAGAGGGGAGCTTTAAAAGCAGAAGACAAAAGGAACACCCAAAGCAGCTAGAACCAAAGTTTATCCAACTTACATTGGCCCACATCTGAAGAGTAGGGGGGTCAATCTTGTAGAGCTGGTTGAAGTTGCAGTAGACAATGGAGTCCTCTGGGAGACCGTACTGGGAGCGGGTCGTCACAACGATGGTGCGTGGCACCTCCTCCCCAGTGGCAGCTTTGTTGTTGATCTAAAATGGGGGCCAAAACAGTATTGCTTAGAGGTGGAGTAATCATAACACTTTCATCTTGAAGAGTTACCAAGTGTGACAGATCTTAACTTAATGGTACCGAGCCTACTGGTGATAATATGGTGTTTGGAAAGCCAAGATCGCATTAATCATTTTACAGCCAATCCATTGTGCCACCATTTCCCTCACCAACAGCTCTGTGCCTCCACCTTACATACCTGTGTGGTTGCAAGGCCATTGCTGACAGTGAAGCCATTGATGGTGACCTGGATTTGGCCTTGGTTGATCATGTTGATGATTGCTTCAGCTGCTGTGTTCATGGGGATTACGGGCATGGTCAGAGCGCCATTTGTGTCCCCAACAGCTTCCTGGTTGATGTCACACTTCATCTGGTCACAGAGAACAGTTTCAACTTAAAATCATTCAACAACATGATGATAGGTCCTTAATTTATATTCACTTATTGCAAAGATTTCCCCCAGAAAACTTGAACATAAGGAAGAGATATATCGTTTTGTTTTGCTCTAAAATTGGGATTCACTAGTTCCCTAGTTTGTCATTAACACACTTATAATAACGATGTCTTCTTCAGGAAATGTTCTTAACTCACCTTTATCACTTTCACATCTGGCAGACTGTCCAAGTAAGCCTTCAGATCAATACCATTAAGAACAATGCGGTTGTCAAAGATATGTCCATTAGATTTGAAGTCAATCACAGCCTTTTTCTGTGGGGCCAAAAAAGAAAACAAATGTTTAAAATATAATCAATCAAAGTGTTTCCTATTTAAACAAGACTGTCAGCTCACCGACACAAATAGCAGAATTGTTGGAATGGACAAACCTTGAGGTGAGGGAACATGTTGGCGTGGTCTCCGATGAAGAAAGTATGGGGCATGTAGGCCAGTTTCTCAGAATACTGGTCAGCTACTTCAAAAGGTGACGTTTCCTTGTCAGAGATGATGTAGTCCATGAAGGGAGCACCACTGGTTCCAGGGTAACCCAGCCACATAGTCTGTTGAGATCAGATTAATAGGACTGTGAAGATGCAGTTATTCATTTGTACAGGCGACATTTATCCCCCAGAGTTATAACTCTGTGTCTATCAGAAATCATAGGTATTGATCACCTGAACGGGGGCAGGGCGGAGGGCAAACAGCTCATTCCGGGCTCCCTTGGTGTATCCGTTCATGTTGACCAGAACGTGGATTCCATCCTGGTGAATACGATCAGCTGCCTTGCCATTGCAAGGAATCTACAGGACAGAGGTACCAGTTTCAGTTTGTTTTTGACATCGCATACAGCAACGCTTATATTCAAATGATCCTTAAGGTTAATAGACACACAAGAAGCATCCCCAGGTCAGTCACCTGTGAGAGGTCTGTGAAATGATGAGCCTCTGCTACCACTTTCACACGGAAGTTGGTGTTGTCATCAGGGCTGAGCGCATAGCAGAACACCTTGAGGAGAATAACAGTATTGACTTGTAGGCTCACATTTACTTACATGCAATCTATCAACTATATCAGTCAATTACCGGCAAGCCCATACTTTGTAAAACATTATATTCAACTTGTCAGGTCAAGTTTGTAATTTCTAAATTTGAAATTACAATAAAGGTCTCCTACCTCAAATTTCTCCGGATTGTGCATTCCAGGAATGGACTGCATCAGGTGGGAAGTCGGGTGGTTGCCGAAGTCGGAGCTGACGTAGCCAACACGCAGACGACCACCGCTGGCCTTCAGGTCCTTTGGATGCTCAAAAGCAGGTTTGTGCAGCGCATTGATCTGTGGAATTAGCATTAGTGTGAGAATACAACGACAGCAGGATAGCCAATTCCAGTTTGACTGAGTTACACATACTGTAGCAATGTTGGACTAATACTGAACCAAGAGTAACAACCATTGACTCATTTAAATTCATGTCCAACTTTAAAACCATACCCCTATCCCTGCAAGCAACCCATGCACCACAAACTGTCACCTCTTTTTCTACAAAGCTTAAATACATCCAGTATGTTGCCCATCCCTTACCTTCCCCATATCCCTGCAGACAGCCACTGCCACTTTCCATCCCCCCCCCAAAAAGGAATTAAAGTTTACTTGCTTTGATCAGTGCGTGTACCTTGTCCAGGCAAAGGTTTCCGTGGCGTTCTGCAATGGCCTTGCGGAAGCCGTGGGAGAGTGGATACAGCATGCTGTGGTGTGGGTGCACTGAGGGCAAGCGGTTCTTATCCAGCTGGTCGGCCACGATGCTCACAAGCTTCTTCATCCGCTCGTCGTAATCTGTCCAGTCGCACACAATCTGGGAGAGTGACAGAAACAAGAGTCATTAGAAAATGTGCTTAAATTCAACCGGAGCAAAAAAACAAACAACTGGTATGTACTGTAAATGCATTGGCATATATGGACCTGCAGACAATGTGCCAAGTTGCAGTAAGCATCAGGGAAGTCCGGCTTGAGCTTCAAGGCTGTGCGGTAAGATGAAATAGCCTCTGGGATGTTTCCAGAATCCTAATAGTCAAGAGAAACATTAGAATACAGAAGTAAAAATGCATTACATCACACATAAACAGGTGGTGATGTATGCATCAGTGCGTAATCTGCATGTGACTCCATAAAGTAATCATTACATGTTCTTCCTTTCCCTAGCAACAAGTTCATCATCGGTTGCCTCAAACATCAATTCAAGTGAAATCCTACATACTGTATATAATTTAAACTAATATGAACCAATTAGCCATTACACCGTTATTGACTAATTCCAACTGTTTCTAGATATGTACAAATATAATTTGAGTGATATTGAAAAAACTATTGCAATGTCACTGCTGTTCGAGCTGCTGGCTGAACCTGGAGAGGTAGAGCTCAACAGGGAACAGACACAATTCTGAACAGTCATCTTAATGGCAAACAACAAGGGAATATTACCAAAGATCAAAGAATCCTTCCTACCTTGTGGATAGAGGCCAAATTACTGTGAGCGTCAGCAAAGGCCGGGTTGATCTGGATGGCACGGGTGTAGCATTGCAGCGCTCCCTGTACGTCTTGCATTTCCTTCAGTGTATTGCCCATGTTGGAGTAGGCGTCGGCAAATGTAGGGCTGATTCTAAAACCAAACAGGAAATCGGTTTAAAACGTGTACAACACCATCACGTCTTGTAAATATTGTGCCTAGTTTATGATGATCTACTTTAGATCATCATAGGTTAAACTATACAGAACATGGAAAGTGTACTTGTTCACCAACTGATGGAATATCTGAGTGATGTGATCTCACACCAATATCATTAGGTGCACTGTAGGTTTTGCTTCAACTATTGTAAAATAATATTACATGAATCCAAACTAAGTCAGCAGGTAGCTCTAATATATAGCTACAAACCTGATGGCCTCCTTGTAGTGCATGAGGGCCTCCTGGAGTTTCCCCTGCTGCTGCAGGACACTGGCAAGGTTAGAGTGAGCTGCTGCAAACTCTGGGAACACCTGAGGAAAAACAAAACGGGTTACCGAGAAGAACAGCACAAGAAATGCCATGCTCACTTTCACAGCAAACATGTTAAACAGACCTAGTCACAGCAGAACATATCAGTCAACTCTGAACTCGCCTCTAGTGCCTTCCTATAGAGCTGAACTGCCTCCTCAATGTTGCCCTGCTCACGCTTGATGTTGGCCAAGTTGTTAAGAGAGTCTGCGTGGGTTGGACACAAACGCAAGGCTGTGTTGTAGCACTCTTCTGCTTCAGACACCTGGGAAAGACATTGGCATTTTAAAAAGTGAAATTCATTAAATGCTGACTGAATTATAGAGACCTCACAACTATGTGCTGCCTTACATTGCCTTTCTCCTTCAGGGCATTCGCCAAATTGCAATAAGCATCGGGGAAGTGGGGCTGCAATTCAATAGCCCGGCGGTAGGTGTCAATAGCCAGATCGATGAGGCCTTGCTCGTAGTAGACACAGGCCAGGTTTCCATGGACCACCGCATGGTTGGGGCTCAGACTCAGGGCTCTCAGGTATCCGGCCACAGCTCTGGAAACAAAAGATAAGGGGCGTATAAATTGTAGTTTTCATCTTTTTAAAATAACTTCTCACAAGCCATCAACAGTCGAACTGCTACATTTTACACAATTTTATTTCATTTCTACTATTAAAGTACAAATTCAGTTCTGAAAATAAACCCACTGTACAGCAGTTGAGTTACAGCCATGACCACGATGGTGCAATAAATGTGCCCTGCCTAAACAGCTCCGGGGTCAACACAGATGAGGAGGTAGTGGAATGGACAGAACAAAAGTTCTTGACTCATTTGAAATTCCACAAGGTGTGGCAGAGGACAAAGGAGCAGACATGAATGTATAAAGGGAGTATCATACCGTCTACCATGTCATGATTTGAACTCACCTGTCAAAGATGCGGGCTTCTTTCAAAACATTTCCTAAATTGATGTATGCGTCAAGGAAATTTGGGTCCAGGGTCACCGCCTGAAAATTGAAACCAAGCTTAAAAACATGCGACAACAAGAATATAGACCAGACAGTAGCAGGGTGCAAAAATCAAGGTTCCTAATCTTCACTAAAGACAATTTTCCAGGACATTCTCAGTGATAATCGCGCTTTATTCTGTACGCTCATCTCTGTGGAAGTCCGATTTAAAATGACGTGCAGTCAATAACGTATCAGGGAAATCATCTCTTACATGCTTAGAAATTATGACAAATTGATCCTAAAATAATTTAATAAAAACTACCACAATTACTGTTATCGGTTACAGTGATCGCTGGTAAATAGACTAGTAGTTGATTGGAAAATAAGAGAATGTTCAAACTAAACACAAGATCTTCTGGGACATTTGACTTTTTCTCTCATTTAACATGTTTTCCATGACTGGAACATTGGTCAACTGTTGTCCAGGGACAACTGGGAACCCTGAAAATGGTACCAAAAAAAAAGTGTGGAACTGACCTTTTCAAAATGGTGTATGGCCAGCCAAATCTCTCCTTGAGCATTGAACACACAGCCCAGGTTGCTCCAAGCCACTGCAAAGTTGGGCTGAGTCTCTATGGCTTTCAGGTAGCAAGCCTTCAAAGGGTGTACAATGAAAAACCATAGGAAAGGAGAAGAGGTAGAATGGGAGAGGTATAGTGTGTAGAGGGGAGGACAAGGGATGGTAAAATAAAAAAACAAATAGAAGATTGAGAATAAAAGCAAGAAAAAACAAAAAGGGCAGAGAAAGCAGAATTAGTGACTATTCTCCATCATGGCAAAAAGTGAGTCTACAGCATGGGCTCGCGTGCGCAAAATTCTGCCGCGCTAAGCTGCATAGCTTTTTCCTACGCTGCGCCGATCCAACCAAAACCCACACTTGTGCCCGCATCCTTCAGTTATAACCACATTGTCACCAAATGTAGTGGTCCCCACATCAGGCACAGCATGCTGTCCTTCGTCAAATCAACGGCGTTTAGTTAAACCCCCCAAGAGTACAACATATTATACTAAGATCTAAAAGAAATCCCAAATTTAATGTGGGTATGATATCACACAACCTGGGATGCTGGACAGTTCGTGCCAGTGATGGTCCCTGTAATGCGTGCGCAACAAACGCGAGCGCATGGCGTGTCTATTGCCACCACCACAACGCCCCATATCATGCCATTCGCGTGACCTCGCTCATGGCAAAGGTCATTTATCGCTGCTGCGCTCGCTGGATGCTGCAGACCAATAACCCCGGGCAGAACGCCTGAAACACCAGACTAGCACACACTCGGCACCCATCACATCTCAGAATTGAGGGGGATTGAGGGGGATTGAGGGGGGGGGGGGTCACCCAGTGGCTACACCGGGATGTTAACACAGTGGGGAATTTGGAAATTAACAGCCAATAAACAATAACATTTGTTATTGAAGTGGTAAAATGGTTTTACTGTATGGCCAAATCTGTGTTTTTCAACAGGTCTGAGATTAAGGGGCATTTGGGAGCGAAGCTGGTTGTGAGTGGGGAGAGGTCCGCAACCAACGGGCCAAAGGGAGTGAGGGTGTGTGAGTCGCATGCTTGTGCTTTCCGCCCTTTTGGTTTCTTGGAGGATATCGCTGCGCGGCCCCTGCGCTACTGCAGACTCACAGCGCACTATCTGCATCATCAGAACGCTGCAACTCCAAATCAAGAAGGAAAAACAACACAAAATAGGAAAAATAAACACGTAAGAGTTAGAGGGTTCTTACTTGTTTTGCACGATTATTCTTTCCAAATCCTAGTTTCTTTTTACTTAATACAGAATTGGGTTATTAGTGTAGCATATTGTAGGGAATGCTTACTGTAATTCGTTTTTGCTACTTTTTTTTTCTTTTGCTCTTCAAAGGAAGCCACAAGACAGAGGAGCATGAAGTGAGGTGGTTTTTCTTTTCTTGTCAGTTACAAACCCGTTACCATATTTTTGGACTTTGTCAGAGTTGTGGCCGCAGCTGGCTGGAAGAAGAGGAGAGGACTGAGGCTGCCCTAGTGTTCCTTTCCGCCAGGCACCTACGCAGGAATAGTGTCACCCACCTGAAACCTTCTAAATAACAATATCAGTTGTGGAAAAACCAAAAGAGACAAAATCAGAAAACAAGATCGTTAGTAAAAGTCTTCAAACAATACAATCTCTTTAAATTTGGAAATAAAACACAACAAACAGACTATACTTAGGCTTTCATTCATGCAATGACCGTTTCATTTCAAAGAAAACAAAAGAAATGCTTCCGGGTAAGTGGGAGGGAAGAAAGGCTTTGATGTGTTCAGTTTTATCAGTAAAATATAGGTTGAAGTCAGATTTGCAGCTGTTCATCAATTCAGGTTTCATATGAAACTACAGGAGGGCAGTTACTGGCTTGATCTTGGCCAAATGAACTGATCCCATTTCTTTGGGAATAGTATAACATATTTGAAGGAAAGGGGAAGAAGTATTAATCACTTTCGGTCATTCTTTTTGCATCGTCATGAAATATTTTTGAATCTTGGATTTCGTTTTCCTGGCTTGCTTTCTTGAATCCTGGCCAATGGGTGGGGAGAAAAGTCTGTGGTGTAATTATTGGCATCTAGAAGCCTCCAAAGCTCTGAAATAAAGAAGTCATCGCTGTTGCTGCGCGGGCCTGTCTTCTGGCGACCCAGCATCTGACGCAGGTGGTGGAGTACAGATTGTGAGCTGTCTGCCTGACGACACTTGGAACCATTTTATGGCACTTGAGAATGAGCACTCATTCATAACCCCCCACTCAGTTTAACACACTATTCAACAGCAGTGGATATCAGTCAGATAGCCAGCTGAGTGCAATTTCATTTTATCAACCATAGCCAAAAGAACTAATGCATGTGTGCACGAAAAGCACTGTCGCGGTGTGCTTGAGCACCGGCAGGGCGAAGCTAAAGGGTCAGGAAGGCAGCTCTCAGCGCGCAGACTCCACCAATCCTTTGCGAGCGCGCGGGGGGTGGAGCGACAGAGCAGGGGAGCTTGTGACTCCCTGATGCTCCTCCCCACTCCTTTACCCCCCTCTAGCACGAAATAAGATGGCCTGTAACCACTGAGACAACTCCACGTTTGATCCAACCCAGGGAGCCCCTTTATACAGACCGAAGTCTTAAAATGACAAAAGGGAAGTGAAACCCACACTGGCAGCAACTGTGCTGACAGCAAACTGAGACCAAAAGCTTGTCACTGGGCACTTGATAAACCATTTTGGGAGTGTAGTGGTTAGGTTAGAAACCATCTTACCTTTTGCACTGCAAAGATAAACTAGCTTCTCATCAGTTCATATATTCTTCAAAGACCGAGCCAGCATTTTCCCTCCAAAATCTATATGAAAATGCACGGGCTGAGTTCAAAATTGACAATATAGATCAAATGTTTCAATTAAAAAAGCTCCAGCCTTTCTTCCTAAAGGAGAGGGGCTGACCATTGGTAAACGGTCGGGGTAAAGCAAAGGCTTAAAGGGGATACAGGTCGGGGACAAATGTGATAATATACTATATAAAAAAAAGAAAATTGATCTAGCCATTTAAAAAGTAATCACCAGAAAGTGTGTTGTATGATTATGAAAAAGATTTTTTTTTTTTTTTTTTTTAAAAAGGTAAAATTGGTTGCCTCATATGGGTGTCAACTCGTTGTAGTCCAATACCTTCAAAAGTAGGTGAGGAGTGAGAAGCTTACTGCAACTCTGAGAGAAGAGAGAAAAGCCTCCATGTCCCGCCCCACACTGGGCCGTAGGGGTTAAAGGGAAAGGACTGGATTTGGCCTAAAAATTTTAAAGCAGAGACAGGAACAATATCTATTTTCTTTTGTGGGGGGGGGGGGGGGGGGAACTAAAAATAAAAAAGTATTTAGAGAAAAAAAAAAAAAACACAAACACATGTATACAAAGGGCAACGCGCTGTAACATACCTTGGCCTCTTCCAAACGTCCGAGGGCTTTAAGCAAGTTGCCCAAGTCGCTGCGCACACAATAGAGATCCTGGGGGGGTAAAACAAAAACATTTTAATGTTACTGCTACAATAAACTGCAGATCAATGTTTCCAGTCCAAATATGTTTGCATCATTAGCAAATAGATTGCTGTAAATTTAAAGAGTAACTCAACACCCCTGAAAACCTCTTTGCCGGCCTCCAGTGGTTGAACTTTTCACCTTCCTGCAGTGAAATACAGGTGTACTCCCGGACTGCGGCGTAATCAACGACGTTAATGTGTTGGCATTATTATAAATTGATGCAGAATTTTTTTTGTCAATCTTTTGTCATTGGAGCTGCTAAAGAATTTCCCTTGAAGAAGTGGTTAAAGCTTCTCATGCACACAGAGCCTCCCCTGGCCCCACCCACATCTGCAAAGTGACCTGGCATGGTGGGAGACCGGATGCCACTCATTTGAATGTATACTTCTGTCTGGTACTCGCGCTGCAGTTACATATAAGTGGTATGTTATGAAGATTTATGCTGCCTTGTCTAAATGCTAGAGTCTATTGATTTGATTACAAACAGGGGTAAGTACTGGCAGAAAATGGGGAGCATATTTTGTTACTCCATTATAATATTTATCTAAGATTTCAGAGGTAGCGTATTTGTTTTGTGCTGCACTATACAATGACATGAGAGTGATGGGTGTGGTCAGAGGGGGCAGATAAACTTTGCTTTTCAGTCGGTGTTAAGTTACTCTTTATGGTTTTTCACAAATACCACAGCACTTACAGGGTTGTACTGTAAGGCAGACACATACGCCTGCACTGCTCCCTCCATGTCCCCTGCGGCCACCAAAGCAGCTGCCAGGTTGATGTAGCCATCAATAAAATCTGGTTTCAGTCTCAGAGCATGGCGATAATGCTCTATGGCCTCCTGCAGTTGCCCTCGCTCCTTGTACACGTTCCCCAGGTTGGAGTAGGCCTCTGCCAACATTGGGTTCTGTTTGATGGCCAAGGTGCTGAAGTGAGCGGACCTGTAGGGCCAGAACGGGTACAGAATGGTCAGAATCCTGAAGAGAGTGGCTGGCAGCGTTTGCTCGATGCCCTATGTAGAGGCAGCAGGAGGTGGATAAATAGTCAAACAGCACTTCAAGGTGAATAGCCTTAAAATTCTGCAAACATTGATACATGACATACAACACACAGTTCACCAACTTCCATTCTAACAGAATCCATTATTTGAGCGCACATGATACAAAGTTTAGTACGGCTTGCAGTATACTCCAAATTAAACCGTGTTTGCCAGGTAAGTGGTGCATCTATGATGAAGACTATGCACCACATTTCTGAAGGAATAGAAAAGAGTAAACAAAATGGAATGTTTAAACCTGTAACTCGCAAGACCCGAAACCATGGCACCTGTAAAGCAAGGGTATGGCCACCACCGAAACAGTGTTAGAATCACAAGGGAACTGAGCGAGACCAGATCAAGCAAAAAAAGGATTTCCAGAGGACTGCTCAGTTGCTGCAAGTTGAGTCAGCTCCCCACACCTCACCTGTCGAGTCTTCGGCACTGGAAGTGGATGGAGGACAAGAGCAGCAGCACGCCTGTGTTATCAGGCTCCTGCCTCCATAGCTGCATGCAGTGGCGCTCGGCTGCCTCAAAGTCCCCCGACTGATACTCCCGGTGCGCCAGCTCAGCCAACCCTTGGAAGGAAAGCATACGTTTTGTCGGTTCTGGAGCACCAACCAACACATCCCAAGGAGGGGGGGGGGGGGGAAACAACACGTTAGATGCGATGAAGAAATTAAAGCAGACAAATGAAAACAAAATTAAATAAAAAGAGGTGAAGCTAATACTGTCAATGACAAATAATAGCTATCAATTTGAACTCAATTGGAAGCAAACCAATTGGGGAAATAAAGTGAGCACTCAGATCAAATGTTGCAATCTAGAAAACTCAGAGAATTCACAATTGCAATTTTTAAGCCATAGATTGGATTAAAGATTAATTCTCTGTTCAATAAATCTAGTTGCAGTTTTACTGTTTTCTATGTATAACAAAATGTAAGGTCACAAAATGACATTACTTGACTGCAGACGACTGTTTAGTTTAAAATGCATCTCCTATGAAGACAAGAAACTGCATACGCACACACACTATATTGTGTTTAATTTATAAATGTTTTAGCGGGATAATGATTGCAAACAAGAACACTCAGCTGAAAGACTAACTAGGGCTGCGTTACAGTGTGCTATGTACCTGGCTCAGTTCCAATATGTTATACTGATTCACAAAAAACAGATTAATGAGATACTGTTTCAAGTAAACCTGAATAGATGCATGAGATGAAAAACAAACAGGGAGGGGGGGGCGATATACCGGCAGAATTTCTGGCGACAGTTTGGCTTTCACATTTTAAAAAGATAAACAAAAAGATTGACAGTACAGCTTTTAGTTGCTGTTCAATATTATACAGTCTTATTATAAGAGATATGTTGGTTGTAAATATTAATTTACTTTTCATTTTGCATGCGTTTAATGATTAGCCAGCTTTCTGGTATTCATTACTTAACGTGTTATATTTGTCTTTTTCACATATTATATATACATTTTTAAAGGCTCTATGCTAAATGAGATGAAACAGTCAATATCAGATGAACCTACAGTCACTTGAGGTCAAATTAGTCAGGGTGTGGCACCAACAACATGCCACAGATGCATGCATGGTGAACACAAGGGTGGAGAAGCTCATGTTTTGGGGACATTCCAACTGTTGTGCAGTGGATGCACACATCTGCAAACTGATGCCAGAGCACACTAATATCCCAGTAGATCAGGTTCCACGACCATTACGTAATAATACTTGCATGTAGGATGGATAGTTTCGATTACATAAAGCACCCTGTCGTAATGAAACATTATCAGTTACGCGAAATGCCGTTAAGGACTACATTAAGATGTACTATCAGTGATCTCCTTTAGGATTTATTCTAACGTGGTTTTAACAAAGCAGTGATGTGTACGCGCTCATTTTTAACAGCATGACGCTGCACGGCCCACGTTACGTTGGTTGTCAAGACGAGTACCTTTCTCTCATAGCTGTTAACGGTCATCACAACCAAAGATGGAGACGTTTTCAACAGAGGAGGACATGTTTCTCTCATTCACTGATCTGAAAATACAACGGCATCTTAAAAGGCCGTTTGGACTAGCATACATGCTTGCTAGCTTAGCTTAAATACAAACTGTTTAAGACAAAACCACAGACATTATTTATATATATATATATATATATATATATATATATATATATATATATATATATATATATACAAACCCCTTTATTTTAGCACACTTGCCCGTAATTTAGACTGTCAAGTAGACGCTCGTTAACTATTTTAGGATATCCCTTACAACCTGCTACTAATTAGCATTCATAGCGCGAGACTAAAGCAATAATATGACGGGAGAGGCATAAACTGGGCCTACAATACCAATAAAATCATGTTCCGATATGTGACGAGAAAGACTAAATTGGTGAAAGCATAGCCGTTAGTATATTCGCGATATTAATTTGAATAAGCATGAGCTACTTAGGAGTCGCTGGAAATAGCTAGCGTAACATTTTAACACGAGATAACGTCGTCTTACTTGCCATTTCGCTACCGTTAGCTTAGCTAAATGATATCAACCAACCTGTGCTGTCAGCCACGTTTCCCACGGAGGTCGCCATCTCCACAGTCTTCGTGTCTCGCACGGTGGTCGTCAATGCGTCTCCTGGTAGATTACCGTTTCAGAGAAAAATTGTGCGACGAGCAGTCGTCTTTGTCGGCTGCGACTAGCAATCACGTTGCCAGGCAAGCTAAGTAACGTTACCCTAATATTAGATTCTCCGTACAGCACTTAATGACGCTCTTGCAGTAGTCTGTATATAGTTCAGCCGGGTGATTATTAATCATCTAACCTCGCTACAATCCCTAACAGCTAACCTTTTACTGGAGTTAAATGTGCTGTTGCTTTATGGTTGAAGGTGATTTCTCCTCACAACAAAGCTGCTATGGAACATAAAATGGCGGAATGGGTGGAACTAGTTTTTGAGAGAAACTAGTTCCGCGCATCGTCATTACGAGGAAACATGCATGTACGATTGTAATAAATGTCGTATTAGCAACATGGTAATTCATAGGATGTGGGCTTGAAGTAATGTGTGCTAATCGTGTGTTATACGTTTCATGACGAAAAATAAAAAGATTATAAAATGATTTTGCGCGGAAGAACACATTGGTGCAGTGAGACAGAGTGCAAGTCACGTCCATACAGAGTGTTCTTGAGAGAGGCATCATCAGTGCCTCCACGATTCATGACATAGTTTGCTTATCAATTACAACATGGCATGACATCTAAATATGTCTGACATGCATCAATTCTGCAGTCTATATAAGGCTACAGGTCGAATAATACAAGATAACTATATGATTTAATAATGTATGCAGGCTTGTAATGTAGACTTACTTGTAGTGTGCTGTACAATCAAGCTGGAAAATGTACGTTACATTTAAACACTTAAGTATACAGCTGTACATATTAAAGCACCGGAATAGAGATTACACCATACTTTTTATGAGAAACAGCACAAGCAATGCTAGACAGTACCAAAAGTTAACACGGCAAACATCTTGTAGTGTACACTGTTTTTCCAACCATGCATTTTTTTACCAAGCGGAACAGGACAAATCAATTAATTAGAACATAACTTCATACATTTTTAATTACTTAATTGTGTTGTGTCGTTTTGTGTAGCACATGTGCCATTTCAATGTCCAGGGGAATACAGTATTTTCAATTAAATTATTTCTAAGATTTAATTATAGAAAAGAAAGATTTCCTAATAATGCCCTTGGCCCAGTTATGCAGAACCATACTTGAGTGTAAACACTTTTTTTGATCTGTTATTGAAGTTAGTATCAGGGATCTGTAGCTTGACCAAATGTGTATCTGGTAGAAGCATACAGTGAAAGTAGACCTCCTGTATGTGGGCCTCTGTACAGATGGTATGCAAGATTCAGAATCACCAACAGAGGGCAGCCTCTGTAAACCTATATGAAAGAAAGATTTCTGGAGTCATGCAAAGTGGCTTTGAACATGATTTTGCTTTAGATTTACTTATTTTTGCAGGTCCTACATCCATGGTATTTACTTGTCTGTCGTTAGCAATAGAATACCCTGGGTTGTGTTATAATATGGGGTTTGTATTCAACTATTAAATAGTTGTTGCTCATTTCATACCACTGAAAGAGACCCTTCTACAGTTTGTTAAGAAAACATTGGTAATTTTGGCCAATGTCACAGTTTTATTAAAGACCTCAGTCGATATTAATTTGAAATCCAAATTAAAGGCAACACAGGCCCTCATCTTATTCTCCCATATGCACAGTATGGTCTCAATTCATTTATGGTCAACACATCAGTTTTAAGAATGTGGCCCCTGAAGTGATAGTCATTAACATGCCATTCTGCCCTGAAGATGTTGAAAAGGGGGCTACTGCTTGCTGCATCCCAGTTTTTCCCATAGTCCCTCTATGGGAAAGTAGTTGACATCATTGCCCATGTTGGCTTTGCTCTGTGTGCTCAAAGCATGCATATGGTGCAGGGTTTGTGTACTCTTCCTCGCGTTCCTCTCCTTTGCTCTCACTCTTCACACTGCTTAGCGGTCACTTGTGCACAGAATGATGTCATGGGCACTGTGTGTCTGTGACAATTGCATCTGACATGCTTTATCTTTGTGCAGGCTACAGTCACTAGGAAGGCGGTCAGGGTGAACTCATCTTCCCCTGCCTAAAGGGTCGGTGACAGCTCTCCACAACAGACCCTGCTTTCACACAAGCTATTTTAGGAAGCATGTGAGAGCAAGAGGTCCATTCACTCACAGGTCAATTTAGGCGTTATTAAAATCGCAGCACAGCCTGGAGATATTGGGAGTTTGTTGTGCCGTTTAATTGCCAGGCCAGAAAATTCTGCTACCAAATGAGTGGCCGAAATTATTTCAGCCCATTTAGTTTGGGAGAAGATCCAATGCAAGCTGATGACCCACATTGTTTGTGGTGTTTTGGTATGCTTTCCAAAATACTTGAATAGGGTCGCTTTGGGCTACAGAGGGAGTTATTTGTTCATTAGTTAGATATTTTTTGCTCTGTTCGGTGACTCATAACAGAAAGCTGTCTTACAGGGCATGAGCTCAGCGAAAACATATTTCACTGTAATGGGGGAATTTTCTCTTGCTGGCACACATCTGGAACAGCCATCATGGATCTCAGTGTTTCAGGCCTATACTGATCAAGGAGTCCTCCTGATTTTATGCTGTTTTTAGTGTTTTCCAAAGGTACTATAATACAGAAATGATGCTCCAGCTCTATAGGGATGATACAAACGTATTTATTTAATTTCCTGGATATGGATAGTCACAGACCAGTAACTAGAAATTCATGATGAAGTTGAATTTCACTTTATGATGCTGACTTGGCAGGACCTAACTGACGATGATAACTGATCAAATTGCACCGAGTGCATCTTTCAAGAAAGGGCCTATGTGCTTTTTGAATTCATCAGCTGTCTTCACACAGAATTCAGTGAGAAAAAATTATAAAAAAACATTAATGGCTGCACTTTCAAGATTGTCAATAAATGGTAAACGAGAAGAAAGTTTAGATTACATCAGTGGCAAAACAGTAGACAACCATCGTGTCTGCATGAGTGCAAAACTTTATTGCTTTACAGCCTGCAGCAACGCACATATTTGTCACTCTAAGCTTCCTCTCTTTAAGACAGACAGAACAAAGTCATTTCCTCAGGAGCATCTTTAACGTTGTGGTACGGACCAGCATACATATCGTGACTGTTGACACACTAACACAGTGAGACAAAGTTGAGTCACTTTTAAATGTGTGAAGCTATAATAAATATTGTGATTAAGGGTATTATTATCCCTATTTTGTGTTCTAAGAATGACAGCACTTTGTGGAAAACAGGCAAGCAGATATTGGACTTCTAGCTGCCAGCCAGGTTAATCATCAGGTACCAGTTTGATTCATGCTCCCGGCCTTTATTTAAGACATTTGTCAGGTGCAGACTGAGGTTTTATGGCCGCACATTTTGTGGTTGGAAGTTATGTCTGAACAACATAACTACTTAGAAAAATGCACTGCTGTAAAATGTTTATTTTTGTTTGAAGTTACATTTTATCTCTCTGGGGTTATTGGTTACAGTGATTATATGCAGGTGGAAAAATACAGATGGTCTCTATTTTCAGTTAGTTTCACACTAATCTCTGCCAGTGGCATTCATTTGAAGGTATTGAGCGCAGACGGGGGAAAACACATATTGGAACATCATCATCGTTTGTCATCATTCAAGTCACATAACAAGGTTTAACCCTGTCTGCTCTTGTGTCAGAGAGCAGGAACGGGACAGGTCAGGGCTGGTGTGGTGCCAGGGCCTGCCTGGATCCTCCTTCAAATCTCTGCATTCATCACCTGTCGTCCCTCTGACTCCCTGACCCCTCTCATTTCACCCTGCCCGCTCCTCTTCTTATGTGTCCCTCGAGACTGGCAGTGTGTAGGACCTGGTGACACCTTTCATGACAGCAGCTGTCAGTCTCTGCTATCAATTACACCGGCTGACTGACACCCTCTCCAACCCTGATCCTGGCTTTTATTCACCCTCTGGAAATCTCTACCAGTTATTACAGCAACCACCTCTGGCGTAATCGCCACGTTAATGCAGAGCCCCATTTCTCTCCAAGACTTCCTCCTACTACCCCAGGAGAGCAGTGCATTGTCAAATATTACTTTTCTTCTAGTAATGTTTTAAGGAAGTCACTGGATATGCTGACCACTGCAGTGCATTTTAATGGTGAATATGTGACATCTTCAAGGGTTTAGACTAAATCTCCCATGTGAGAAGTCTACTCGGATGGAAAACTCCACTGATCCCGGCTTTGCCAGATCTCATTTAGATCCACCTGAGGGGGCATCCAGTGGCGTGCAATCCCAGAGACGGGATGTCTGGGGTGGGGAAGGATTAGAGGAGACTCCCCCTGGCTGCCTGTGTGTATGTGTGTTGTGCAGATGATTGTTTGATATTGTATTCTACCCTGAACCAGCGTGCAGCTTTAGATCAGACAGTTTGAGACTAGCAGAATCACTCTCATTTTTAATCGCTTGTCTTTCAAGTCTTTTACTGTTTTACACTCTTTGTATCTTTTTCATCCTGCAGCTATTTTCTTTCGACTTGCTTTAATGTATTTTATGAGCGTGACGTTTTCTTTCACTTGCTTGTTAAAACACTTCTACATAAAAAAACGTATCTCCATGATTTGTCCTCAATTTGTTTTATAGTGTTGTTAACTTGTTCGTTTAGATATTCAGCATTTATTCTATACCCTTTTAGTTTTTTATTGCTGGTTCTAATCCAAAATTAAGTTGACTTTGCACCAACCAGGCGTCTCCACTACATAACACTGGGAACATGCTCACTGGCCTACTCCTCTGTGACGTCTCTCCTCTTTCCCACTGTAAACAGAGCACTTGTTGTGGCCTGTCTCTTTGTTTGTCTAAGATCAAAGGAGGTGGAAACTTACATGAGAAACACAACTAAGCTGTCAGAGGTTAACCTATAATTATCTACTGTACATGCCCTACAAACACTGTAATCTCAGGTTGATTGCTCTGTGGGCCTCACACACCCATATTCCACCAGCTATGCGATGGTCCCCTCTCTTTAGATTGATGGGGCTTGTCATTCACCTTGCAGTTACTGCCTCTTTCAGTTTCACTCTGCATCATTCAAATGACTTTCCTCACCAGTGACAGTTACAGCATAATTGACCAGCCTTGAGCAAATAGGACATGTGTTGTGTGCCCCATTCTCACGCAGAAGTCATCCACTTTGTCAAACCTTTTATCCAGAAAAATGGATCATCCATCACTAACCCCACTCCCCTGTTGTTGTAGCCCCTTTCCTCCCACTGGCTGCGTAATTGGCCGTACCTTGTGAGTCAGCCATGGAGGGGG